ATTTGAAATAAAATAATTGTGATAACTTTGAAGGAAAAGGCAGAAATCCCAAGGCCACAGTGAAATTATGGACAAGGCAGCAGAATGTCCATGGTCTGAATGGATGCTGAAGTCAGGCACTCATTTTTCTGTGCAATTTTTGAGTATTGAACTTTAACCACTCCTACATGAATGATCAGTCTTGCACCTCCCACTTCTTCCCCTATGTGAATTCCCACAAGATCCCTTACTTGATGATTTGCTCCTCCTGGAAGCTCTGCCCTGCCCACAGTCATCAGGCTACCTCACTTCAACAGAAACTCATGAGCTACCGCAAGACAATCTTCTTGTATGATTGCTTCAACTGGAGAAATTATCTGTGTTCTGAGTATCAAAGATAACCTGACACTGGTCAGACTGAGCTTAAGATTTGTTTCTGGTGCTAAACTTAAGTGTGTCCAGAAAAATCTTCATTTTTGAGAATAAAACTTCTATGTAAATTGTTTTTATTCTTTTTTATTTAAATTAGAAACAAACTTGCTTCACATGTAAATCCCAGCTCCCTCCCTCTCCCCTCGTCCCCTGCTCCCCCACTAGACACCTCAGCCCCCCCACCCAATCCCCACTCCCTTCCCCAGGGAGGGTGAGGCCTTCCATGGGGGATTTCCAGAGTCTGTCATTTCATTCAGGGCAGGGCCTAGGCTCTCCCACAAGAGTGCAGGCTGGGAGAGCATCCCTTTTTATAAAATGTTTTTAGCACTTAAGAAGTTTACTGATGCCAAGCAGAGGAGGCAGAGGCAGGTGAATCTATGTGAGTTTCAGACCAGCCTGGTCTACAGAGCAAGTGCCAGGACAGAACCCAAAACTACACAGAGAAACATCTTGAAAAAAAAAGTTTGTTGACTTATGCAACCCAATGCTAAGAAGGAAGGGTTGTCTAAAACAAAAGGTGTATGAGAGATGTTCCTCCTCTCTCGGCTCAAGGTCCTGAAGCAGATTCCACAGGCTACTTCCCTGCTCTAAAACCTCATCCTCAGATCAAGAGCTCCACACTTAATGATACCTTCCTTTCTGAGATATGTAGTTAGGGTGTTTGTTGCTGCAATAAAACACCAGAAGCAAAAATAACATGGGGAGGAAAATGTTTCATTTAGCTTACAACTCTCAGATCACATTCCATCACTAAGAGAAGTCAGAACATGAACCCAACACAGGAACCTGGATGTAGGAACTGAAGCAGAGGTCATGGAAAAACATTGTTTAATAGACTTGCTTCTCCTTACTTGCTCGATCTTCTTTCCAATACAGCAACCCAGGCCTGGCACCAACAGTGAGCTGGGGCTTCCTACATCAAACATTAATCAAGAAAATGTCCCAGAGGCTTACCCACAGAGCAACCTGATGGGGACATTTTTTCAACTGAGGTTTTCTCTTCTCAAATAATTCTAACTTGTGTCAAGTTGATTTAAAAATAAAACTAATCAAGGCATAACAGAGTACCACATACTGAAAAATGAGCAAGTACTCATTTTCTTACCTTCTGTAGGCCAAGAAGTTCAAGATCAAGGCATTTCTCCTCAACTTGCAAGATATATGTTTTATCCCTGTATCTTCTCGTGGCCTGTCCTCTCAAGTTTCTGTGCTTGAAGGTCCTTATTTAATAAAGATATGTCATGCTACATTAAAGTCTATCCTGATAGCCTTCTGTGAAGCTAACTTTTTAAGGAAGTTGTCTCCAACTACAGTTCAGATCTGAAATACTAATGTCTTGGCCTCCAACATATTAATTTTTCAAGGATGTACAATATACTAATTACTAATGCTGTAATTAAACACCAACAATCTTGCATACCTCTGGACCACAGCTTCTGTGTGCTGACTCTAAGGAAATATTTCTCTGAAGATTTCATCTCAATGATGCTGGTCTCTTCTTAATCACCAGTAATTTCATAGCTTCAGCACATCACCACAAATTGACCAAGTAAAGCAAAGATTTTGCTTCAGTGGTTCTGGTCTTTTGTTGCTCGTGGCTGATTCTTCAACCCAAGTTAGCCAGAACCACAAATCCTCAACTCAAAGTAGAAAAATAGACAGTCTTTAAGGGACTCTCAAACTTCCCTCTGGAAATGCAAAGAGCAAGCTTTCATCACCTGCCACCTGCATTGCTCTAGTATCACTCTTATCTCCAAAACTCACACAGAAAAGTTCACCAGCCTTTGACTACTCAATGGCTTTTCTAATTCAAGAGTTCCCCAGTGCTTCTAAAATCCTCTCCAAAACAATATGATCACTTTTGTCATAGCAGTACCCCATGATCCTGGTACCCACTTCTGATGCAGTTGGGGTTACCATTGTTATGATGAAAAAAAATTACCAAAGCAACCTGGGAAGGAAATGCACTTTTGGCTTACACATCAATGTTCACATTGAAGGAAGTCAGTACAGGACAAGAACCTGGAGGCAAAGATTAAGGCACAGTCCGTGGCCTGTGCTTCTTGCTTGTTGATCATGGCTTGTTCAGCCGGCAATCTTATAGAATTCAGGACCACCAGGATAAGGATAACACCACACAATTATCTGGACCCTCCAAGATCAATCACCAACTAAGAAAATTTCCTACAGCCTGATCTTATGGAAACATTTTCTCAATTGAGGTTCCTTCCTGTCAGATTACTCTAGATTGTGTCAAGTTGACATAAAATTAGTCAGCATACAGGTCAATCCATGCTGGTACTGCTGAGGTGAAACAGTAGAAACTTCCTGGGAAGAGTAATAGTTACTTCTAGCACTATCCCTTGTAGAAGTCTAAGCAATCTTGTCACTGTCTTGTCAGTAATTTATGAGTCATGTGTCTGTTACTGATTGAGGATAATTGGATTAGATTGTCAGTTTTACCCCTTCTTAGATGTGAAGAGGAACTAAGAGTCACATGCAACAAATAAAGAATTGCGGATATGAAACATCCTTTGAGTGCAGTAAGGATAGTAGACAACCCTAAACAAACCATGAACATTAAGTTAAACCACCAGAAAGTTTGTCAAAATCCTTTAAGCAACAGAGTAAAAGAAATCACTATCTTGTATTAATTATAATAAGTATTAACCCAGGCAAGAAAAACAGAAGCAGGGGGTATAGGAATGTTCAGAAATAAATTATTCAGTGTGTTTATTATTGTTTTGTAAACTACATGTTAATTATAATGGGGGATATGTCTGGCAGATGATCACTTTAACCAAAATGATAAAATTAAGCAATATGTAGAACATGGAAATAACCAGAACTCTGAATTCTATCTGCTACTGTATAACTTGGATCTGAACCTCATAAAATTCATTCAAAATAGGGAACATTGTATAGCCTGATTAGACAGATGTTTTCAAAAATGTCAAAACCATAAAAAAAACACAAAAAACAGCAAACTACTCTAGAATAAGGATAATATATCAACATGACAAATTAAATGTATCATATTTCTTAGCTAAATACTGAATCAAATAAATAGCAAGAGTCAGAAAAATACCACAATAAACAGGCAGATGTAATTGCCAATAGTAGGTTCCCATAATATAATATCTTATTAGAGTGATGATAGGGGAGAATGCATTTTTATTATGCAATTAATGCTAAAATTGTCATGTGTCTTCACACTGGTCTATTCTAAAGAAGCTAAATAAAATCCTTTCTATGAAATATAGTGAGTGCTTTGATGTTTATACACTCTTGAAATGTTTAGTCTTTTTTGGTGCTAAGCAACATTTGGTATCTGATGGTCCCATGAATTTTATTTTCCTTTAATAAGAGTATGAGGTGGGAATGATCTGTTATTGTTAAAAGATCTATAACTTTCACAACAGAACACTGACATAGAAAAAATTATTCTTCATCCAATAAGTAGCAGTAGAATTAAAGGAAGTGTTGAACACACCATATAAACATTTATTAGATACTAAAGACCGAATATATTTGCCTTCATTATATTTTAATACATTTTGAATCTTTTACTGGCTACTTAAATTAAAACTGTGGTTTCTTATGCTACTTCCTACTCTTAAGTAATATTCAATAGTATCTTCTTACAGCTTTTTATGAAAGCTTATCTATTTTTGTGAGAAAGTAATCAATAAAGAAAGGTTTGAATTAATAGAAGACTAGTCATTTTATTTAAGAAGAACAAACTAAAAAATGACTGAAAAATTCAGGAAGTCTCATTTCTCACATTTCTTAAAACTATAAGGACATCCATACTTACAGTTGGTATGTATTTATAGACAAAGAAGTTATAACTAAATAATTCCCTACTACTTTGAAAATCTAAAATACAATATTTTATAAATATCAAGATACTGTCATGCTTCTTAGAAGTAAAGAAGTGCTTTGTTTTAAGAAATTTAATTTTAAAATACGGACGTGAAAATACAGCTGAACTTCACAATATACCTGTACACTCAGGTCCACCTCTGATTTTATAATATACACCAAATAATTAGGCTAATTCATGATCACAGCGACTTGTTTATGAGAAATAAGACAGATTCACTTATAACAACTCTATTTACATATTAGCCCCATAAAAAAGGTAATATAATTGTCTCAGAGACCACAAAATATTTCTAAGTTTCTACTCTTTTGTAGCAGTCTACCTAGTTTCCATCTCCTTTTCTTCCATTAACCTACATTTGCCATTTTGTTTTTCTTACCAAAAATGTACGCTAAAATAACATTATATATTATCACTACTTTAAAGCAAATATTTATTAATTCACTCAGTTATTGGATGATAGTATCATTTTTGAAAATTTGTAAAATACTAGAATACCACATGAAAATTGACTACTTTAAAGAGAAACAATATTTCATTACCTCCCACAATTATGAAATATATTCTGAATGACACCAGACAACTTTTTGGTTATTGAAAGTATCTGTTGAAAAATGATACCATATGGACAACTGGGTTAGGATGTGCAAGATGAGCAAGCATTCACTGGCCATTTGTACTGGTTATAGTTTGAGGTACTGACCAGGGTCAATGACTGAAGTGACATCTCTTCCTACAGTGAGCCTCCCCCATGCATCTCTGACTCAGAATGGTAGTGTCTCCAAAAATAAATCCAAGTTTGAAAGTTGCGTAACATCATTATGTCACCATCTGCAATCAGAGCAACAATTATAGTTAATATTAGAGGAAAAACTCAGAAACAAAAACCACCATATTTGTTGTGGTGGTATGTTAAATACTGTAAAATACACATCAGTCACATGAAAGAATATAGAAGGGGGATAAATAAAATCAGTATTTAAAATTGTTTTCTTTATGGATTAGATCAAGAAGAAAATCTAGAAAACATCGATGACCCTAAGTATTCATCTCAGAAAGTTATTCTAAGATGTTTAAGCTATAATCAAATTTATAGTAGAAATAATGAATAATAATGGTCAGGTTTAAAGTTGCTTCAATGAAAAGAATATAAAATTTCAAATTTTCTAAAAATGTTTCTCGAAAATAAGCAAGCAAAATAAAGCACAAATTATCAGGACTCAAAATCAAGAAGGAGCCAAGCTAGAACTCTTAAACACAATGGCACTGGGCTGGGGTGTGGTTCAGGGAGAGCACTTGCCTAGCTCCTAAGGAGTCCTGGATTTGATTGCAGCTATTTTTTTAAGCACAGCAAATACTAGGAGGGAATTGTGAGAGCTTCTTTCAGAGCCTGAGTAGAAACAAAGCTTGGCATTGTCACCTCCTCTCCTTCACATTATGCTACAGTGCCTAGCCAATGGACCATAGCTAAATTAATGAATGGGGGAGGAATTTAGAATGAAGATTTGCAATGTTTGCAAATGATATAATGGGTTATACAGAACATTCATGGGAATCTACAGAAAAACAACTACAATAATGCATACATTTTGTACAAATTCAAGATGCACACACAATACCGAATATCAGATTTATTTCAAATAATATCCCAAAATTTTGGAAATTATTTGTTATATTTAATTAATTAATGCATGTATCCAAAATATTATCTATATATAAATAACACTACTAAGTATGCAAATAAATCTGTCAAATGTTGTGAGGAAAACCTTAAAAATTGATATGTATTTTAATGTTTAAAAGTAGTATTGTAGTTAGTTCTTACAAGGTTGATGTATAAATTTGAATCAATTACAGTAAAAATATCGGCAAGGTTTGTGACTTTCAGAACGTGTGTATGTGTGTGTGTGTGTGTGTGTGTTTGTGTGTAAAGGTATAAGAATAGCCATAAAATTTTATGCTGTAAGAATTCAAGAATATAGAAGTAAACATTTTCAAATAAAATGAAATATTACTGTGCCAGATATTACATTTTAAAGCTAAATGAAACAATAACGACCATGTGCAAGAAAGGCAACACTGGCACCTGATGGAACAGAGGATAGAAACAGATACAGTCCTTTGGGAATACTACACTAATGTCAAATGTGCCGATGAAAAGCAACAGTGAAGGACAATCTTTGACTACTTAGCCTAGGATGCATGGGATATACATGGAGAAAAGAGAAACTTTGATTCTGCTTCACACCATACAAAGAAAACACATATCAATAACTAGAAGTAAAAACAAGCAGTAAAAAAAATGAGAAAATCACATTTCAAATTCTTCGTGATCTTGAGATGAATAAATTCCTTAGGTCTGAGAAAAACAAACAAACAAACATGATATAAACATGATCAAATGGACCACTAACACTGAACTTTTAGTTATCAAAGATCTCAAACCAAAACATAACAAATAATAGATGGCAGAAAGTATTTGCAACATACGTAACCACAAAAATGTTTGTATCCATAGCATGTAAAAAATCAGAAATCCCTGAGTTATACTTGGAGAGGTACTTCAATAAGAAAAATACAAAAATAGCCTTTGAACATTTGTAAGAATGCTTATCTTAACAAGTTAAAAAATACAAATGAAAGATACAAAGAGATGACAGAATGTGTACATTTAAAGACTGGAGTTAAGAGAACTAATGATGCTTAGTGTTGTTAGGAAGAAGCACTCTGAACTATCATCAAAGGCTGGCAGTTAAGTTTGCCTCTTGGTAAATTGTTCAGCAATATATGCTAAGATGATTCCACTACTAGAATATACACCAACATTAAAGTAAAGCAATCAAGAGGCTAGTAACTGAGTCTATCTCCACACTTTGAGTTATTACATAATAGAACACAACATCCCTGATTATGATAAGCGAATATTTTAGTGTTTTTCATACTAAAAAGCATTCAGGGCAGGAGAGCCACATACTCACTACACAAACCTGATGGTATTTGGATCTCCAGCAGCCATATGTAAAAAGCCAGGCACAGCAGTACTTGTAATCCTAGACCTAGGGAGGTGGAAACAAGCAGATCCCTGGAGCTTACTACACAGTCAGATAGCCTAGCCAAATCAGTGATCTTCAAGGTCAAGAAGGAACCTACATCAAAATATAAAACAGACACTAGACAAGTACAGCAAATAAGTGTCTGTAGAGCACTGTGTTCTAAATGAGACATCTATACCACACCCTCTACCCTCAACGATCAGGGACTCTCAGAGAAGAAGGAGTAAAACATTATAAAAGCCAGGGTTTGGGGAAGACTGCAAGGCATTGCACACAGGAACTCATAGTAGCTGTGACTTCCTTCACGAGACCCGAAGAAGATCAAGTCAGTAGAAATTCTAGCACTGATGTAGGAGGAGCAGTTGATAGCAGCTGGAGAGGAAAAGTCTTCTGTCTTCAGAGATGTAACTTGTTCATGTGATAGCTCTAGATCCATGTGCATAATCAAACTGACTGGATTAAAAAAAAGAAGAGGATATGAAATTATGGGGGAAAGAGAGATTGTGGGGTATCTGCGAGGAGTTAGAAGGTAGAGCAGAGGAGATGGGAGGTTTTGCATAGATTTTCACTGAAATAAAATCTCCATCTTGGAAAGAAGCTCCTTAAAATAGAGATGTTTTATCTAGGAGGTAAAAACATTCCATCCGTCAGGGAAGTTTGATAATCTCAGGAAGTAAACAATGCAAGACTTCAGGAAGTCTCTGAAACTGACCAAACTAGATCACTCTGTCTTCAAGTGTACATAAGCAGTTAGGACTGCTGACTCTTGGAAGATACTCTTGGGGAAGCTGAGCTGCCTACAAGAGTCTCATACCAGTAGAATCAGCTGGAAAAATAGAGACACCCCAAGCCACCAGGGGAAAAGGAGACATCAGTTTAGCTACTGGGAGAGGCTCCAACCTCTTGAGCTCCCCAAAAGAGACAGTATCTAACCTCTTCAAGAGCCTGCATGTTGTAGAGTATGCTCCAGATATCTAGTGTTCATGACTGACATTCATTCTGGAGTGGGCTTATTAGCAATGCAGCTGTTTTAAGCCAGTTTTGCTCCTGAAAATAACCCCTCACCCGTATTTGGAGTAACTCATTGCTTCACCAAGTTCCCTGGTGATATCCTTATGTTGATTTATCACAGTGCCTTAGATGGTGTGAGTATGAGTAGATATTGGTTCTACTAACAACATTTGGATATAAGCAAAGCACATTTGATACATGTATGAAATATCCAAATAATAAATAAGATGTGTATGTTATTTTTAAAAAGTGGAGAGAATTCAAGAAAGTACCCAAAATCAACCTCTGACGCTCTGTATGCACCTTTGCATGCAGACCTGTAGGCGTATACCCACACATGATCACATATGCACATCTATATCACACAGAAAGAAATGAAAATAAAAAAAATCAGTGCTTACAAATATCTGACCTTCAGCTACTCAGAGGCAGTCATTTGGTTAAAGCCTGTCAAAATGGGGTGCATCAATATTCCAAATTAAATGAGACAGATACCAGGTATAGGAAGTCAATGAATTTTCTGTTATGTCTCTGCTAGTCCTACAATAGCATGTTTATGCAGTAGGGGAGAGGTCTCTGAACCTCTTCTGGCCTGAATTTGCCCAATTGTGTATCATTCCTTGGCCTAATTATCTCAAACAAAAGTATTTTATCTAATGTTCTTATTGTATGGGCAGTGAGGTGTCTTAGTAAATAAAGGAATTTTCCACCAACGTGGATGACCTGAGTTTGGTTACTGAGACCCACATTCCAGCAACTGGTCTACTGACTTTCCAATATGTCACAGACACATGCAAAGACATGCAGTACTTGTGAGGGGAGAGGGGTTTGTTATTTTAAGACATATAATTTCATCTGTGATCCAACTGCTAAGACATATACTCAAATTTTGTAGTTACATAATCTGCAATAGCCCCAAACATGAAGCAACCCTAATGAAAGTCAGCAGTAGAACTGTCAAGCAAATTATAAAATGTTCACTTCATTGAGTGCTGTATGGCAAAGGAAATGAGCCATGTCAATAATACCAAAATTTTGTGGATATGGTAAACAAATAAATGGAGCTGTTGTGGAGATTAAATTATATTATTTCTATAAATAATATGTTATTTTAAAAAGTCTTGCTTAAACATTTCTTTTAATTTCATACTAGAGAGATTCTCTCTGATGTTCCTTCATAGGTTTGTAATACTGATACTCTTCTGAGCTTTAATGAATGTAGTATCAAGGAAAGACAAGAGGCTTAAGAAATAGCAGATGATACTACACTTGATCTTAGCTAAAAGGCTGAGAAGCAGGGTGAGAACAGGATGAGAAATACCATAATAAGGAGTCTAGGTTTGAAGAGAGATCTGGCACCAGTGAGACCTCTAGCGATCTAAAAGGATGACACCAACTGGCAAGCTAAGCAATAATGGAGAGACTACCCTAAATGCCCATTCCTGATAATGAACTTGACATCTACTTTATATGCCATCCTAGAACCTTCATCCAGTGACTGATGGAAGCAGAGGCAAACACCCACAGTTAAACACTGAACTGAACCCATGGAATCCAGGGACAGAGAGAGAGGAGCAATGAGCAAATTGGCAAAGAATGAGCTGGTGAAGCCAGCAGAGACAGCTGATATGAACAAGGGGGAGCTTTTGGACCCCAGACCAACAGCTGGGAGGCCAGCATGGGACTGATCCAGACCCCCTGAGTATGAGAGTCAGTGAGGAGGCCTGGGCAACCTTTGGGGCCATGGGCAGTAGATCAGTATTTATC